GGTATGAAGTAGGCAGTGAATTGGCACAAGAGGGACTCCGCCCAACCTCACCCGATCAAGAGTGTCTCCAGGAGATCATTCATTGCTCAGAGGAGAGGGCAGAGGAAGTTACCAGGCAACAGCACGAGCTCATTGATGAGCAGCACAGACGAGATCTTGATGAAGAGTATCAGTTTTACGAGCAACTGAGGGACGCTCAGATATCGGGAGAAAGATTACAAGAGAAAGAAGAGAAACTAATATTGAGAACCACCAATTATAAGTGCCTGCAAGTAAGTGTATTTACATGTATGTACATGTACATGATGTACTGTGTGTCAAATTTATATATGTACATCTTCTTTTCTTTCATCTTAGGAAGCAAAGGAGAGACAAGTCACTGCTATTGATGCCTCTAGACCAAGTGCCATCTCATTAGGGTATGTTAATGATGTTAGCTATTAATGTACTCTCTCTCTCCCTCTCTTTAGTGAAAGGTTTCACACTACTAATCAATCATCACTAAATGTTACAGTAAGTAACTACATGTACATGTACATTATGTACATGTAAGCAGTGAACATTCTTTATTATGTTAATATTTTAATTTTCTGTTATAGACATTCTGCAGTCGTAACATCACAATAGCGACATCACCAATGAAAATACTGTCAGAAAACAAAATAGGAACTGCATCTCAAGTAGCACCAGTAAGGAAATCACCTTATCAATTGATTAATTAATAACAATTTTAATTTTATAATAGGCAACAACATCTTAATACAGATAAACTTTAATGAATTTTGTGTTAAATTAATAATAATAATTAGTTATTATAATAATTATAATAATTATCCACCATGTAAAGTAGATATAAATAGAATGGTGTCATCATTGTTGATTACATAATCCAGTCCACCCACGAGGTCCCAGTCAATATTATTAATCATTACTAATATCCCCGGCCTCACGCTCTCCCCTTGTACGAATAGCTCCGGTCTCTCGCATAATAAGTTTTCTTTTATCCAACCAATCAGATCTCTTATCGTCCAGGTGTTAGCCACACCCATTTTATCGGGAAGCTCAATCTTGTGTTTCTTTATCTTGTTAAAGAGAAGCTCAGCTCCTCCACTGAATTCTATTTCTACACTGAGAGGCATAACTGAGAAAATTAATAACCTTAACGAATAGTTAACTAACTAAAATTATTAACTAGCTGGCCACGTGACTTGGTTTCAAGATGGCGACGGATCCAAAGGAAGACATCAGCTTGTATCTCATTCCTCCTGACACTCCAGTCAATAAACTGGACTGCACTGAAGCTTTCAAAGGACTCACAGATAAGGAGAAGCTCTACGCTCATCATTTTGGTCGTGCATGCTGGGAGGGAGGACTAATCTGCTTGCTACAAACCTCCCCCGAGTCTCCAGGTATATTCCTATTACTGGGGGAGCTGTTTAGGGGACAATCACTGGAGGCACTTAAGGAACTAGCTAATGGGTGTGGCCTATCTGAAGACGAATATAAAGTGAGTTGTACATGTATTTATGGGCGTAACCACTTTAATGATATTCATTGATCAGCTGATTAATGTTTTTTTATTTGCTCGTTGATTATTTGTTTGTTTATTTATTTATAGTCATTTTTAGCATATTCTGCTGCCTTCTACTCCAATTTTGGTAATTATAAAAGTTTCGGTGATACCAAATTCATCCCTGATCTTCCTCGAGAGAAGCTGGAGAAACTCATCACCTCCAGTCAGTGTTACTGTGACAACAAGGAGAGGATCTCGTTCCTCTGGTCCTCAGTGGCGGATGGGATGTTCTCACTCCACCCACCTACTGTACGACAGTTAGCGTTCCCTCCTGATGTGAGTGGGTGTGGTTTGTGTTAATTGATAATCAATGAATATTTAATAGGGTATAACAACTTACTATTCTGGTAACTGTGGTAAAGAAGATGCTGAAATCATAAAAGAATTTATGTTGAATAAAGTAAGAGTGAGAGTTGAGTTATTTATACAAAATTGAAAGTGTACTATTCGTCTAGTGACACATTATGCGAATTGTGAATGTGCATGGTATAACGTACACGATATTTTTCATGTTATTTTACATGTACAAGGCCATTGTGTTCATAGCTTGATTAGCTTCTAGTTATGACGTGGTTCACTAGGCAATAGGCATTTGAAGGAAGCTCTGGATATACATCTATAATCTACAGAAACACCTTGATTGCAATTGCATCCTGCATTGGATGGTTAGGGAAATTAATGCACTCTGTACAATGTAAACTAGACATGTAGCTGTGAAAGCTGTTGTATCATTGAGATATTATTAGTGAAATATGTCATGTGCCTGCATCCCACTAAGTCGTGCATTTTGGCTATGCATCCTGTCCTGTACATACACCGACATAGCTTCATTCATACTTAGATGGATAATTGGATAATTGGATTTGCAATTGTCATTGCCAACAAACTAACAGAAAGCATTGAAGCTTTTGCATCTTCAACTGATTCTGGGAACAAATGAAGGGAGATGAGATAGCATACCATTAGTCCAAATACTCCTGCTACTCCTCTCTTTTTCAATACATGTACATGATGCTATCATTGTTATCATTATTAATAGGATTTGAGCCCATACAATACAAGATTGTTCAAGAATGAAGATGGGACCTATGAATTAAGATTAGCATCATCTCTTACTAATGGTTAGTGTATCAATACCCTCACTTCATCTCCATCTTTCTTACATGAATCATTCTCTCAGATACTCCTCCTAGTCCAAATGATAAAGTATCATCATTACTTGGACCCCATCAGTTTCCTTCCCCTAGAACCAGCTCTAGTGTCTCCATTAAGATATCAAGAGGAGACTATCATACACTAATGAAGAGGATGACTGATGAACTGGAGGCAGCTGCTCATCACGTTGCTAACAGGAACCAGAAGGATATGATTGATAGATATGTGTCTAGTTTTAGTAGAGGGTCAGTACCTGATCATGAAGATGCATCTCGTTATTGGATTAAAGATAAAGGACCAGTTGTTGAAACGTAAGTACATGATCATGTGATGATGATTTGGTGGTGTGACTAGGTATATTGGATTCATTGAGAGTTATCGTGATCCATTTGGATTAAGAGGAGAATATGAAGGTATAGTACATGTACTTGTAATATATACCATACCTTTGAGTTCTATAATTAGTAGTATGAGACCTAAGTCCCGAGATATCTTCCCTCGGCTTACCTCAGGAAGATATCAGGGGGGCAATAGGACTATCTCATGCATTCTTTAAATGCAATACTCAATTAGAAAGGTACGTGGAACCAGGCCTGGGGTAATAGTAATAT